TGTACTTGGAAGTATAAGTTTTTAATTTTTTCATTTTATTTCTACATCAGGAAAGTTGAGACAAAATAAGTTTTTAATTTTGATGCAGCCCAATTTATCTATTTTTTTCTTTGGTTGGTTGTTATTTAGGTGTTACATCTAAGAAGCTGTTGCCTAATTCAGGCTCACAAAGATTTATCTATTTGTTTTCTTCTAAGGGTTTTATAGTTTTACCTCTTACATTTAGGTCTTGGTCACTTCGAGCTAATTTTTTGTATCCCCCTTTTGCCTGCAGATAACCAGTCGTCCTAGCACCATTTGTTGAAAAGACTATTTTTTCCCCATCGAATTGTCTTGGAAACCTTGTTGAAAATCAACTGATGATAAATTTAAGGGTTCATTTCTGGACTCTGACTTCTACTCCATTGATCTGTGTGTCTGTCCTTATATCAGTACCACACAATCTTGATTAATGTAGGCTTATAGTAAGTTTTCAAAATGGGAAATGTGAGTCCTTCAACTTTGTTCTTCATTTTCAAGATTATTTGGGCTACTGTGTGTTCCTTGCATTGCCATATGAACTTTAGGACCTACTTGTCAATTTTTGCATAAAAGCAAGCAAGCATTTTGATAGGGATTGCATTGAATCTGATCTGTAGATCAATTGTGGGAGTATTGCCATTTTAACAATATTGTCTTCTAATCCATGAACACAGATCTTTTTAAATTTCTTTCAATGTTTTGTGGTATCCATTGTCCAAGTTTTACACTTCTTTTGATAAATTTATTCCTAAGTGTTTTATTCTTTTTGATTCTATTATAAATGGAATTTTTTCCTTAATTTCATTTTTAGATTATTCACTGTTGGTGTATAAAAACACAATTGATTTTTATATATTGATCTTATATCCTGTCACCTTGTTGATTTCATTAGCTTTAATTGTGGATTCCTTAGGATTTTTCTATATACAAGATCAGGCCCTCTGCAAATATAAGTAGTTTTATTTCCTTTCGAATCTGTATGCTTTTTATTTCTTTTTCTTGCTAATTGTCCTGGCTAGAATCTCCAGTAGAGTGGTGGGAGCAGATATTCTTGTCTTCTTTCTGCACATAATGTTTTTAAGATATAACTTCTTGCTGCAGGAAGTTATAGTTAATTAATTTTCACTGCTACGCTGTAATCTTCCACTGACAGACTTAGGTTATCTTAAGCTTTTTGCTCTCATAAACATGAGGCTATGAATATTCTTGTATGTTTTCTGGTATATATGTGTAAGAAAGAGATTCTCCATTTGTATCCAATATGTTGATCCATATCCTCTTTGATTCTTATTATATCAGCCTTAATTTTTGCCAACCTAGTGCCACCATGCTATATTTTTGTTGTCTTATATTTCTATATTATTATTATTAATGGGGTTGAGCACCTTTTCAAATGGTAATTGGCCATCTTGTTTCTTTTGTGAAATGCCTGTATATATGTTTTGCTCATTTTTTATTGAGGTGTTTGCCTTTTTTCTTATTGGTATGTATGCATTCCTTGTATGTTTTGGATACTAATCTTTTGTCAGCTGTATATGTTGCAAATATGTTCTTCCCATTTGGCCTTGTCTTTTCTCTGTGTGTTGTCTTTTGAAGAATAGAACTTTAAAATTTTAAGGTAGCAAAATTTGTATTTTTTTTCACTGTTGGTACTTTCTATGTCTTGTTTAAGAAATCCTTCCTACCCTACGGCTAGAAATATATTTTCTTAGATCTTTTTCTTCAAGTTTTAAAGTTTTCCTTTCATATTTAAGTCTTAATGCATCTGAATTGATTTTTTTTGTGTATAAGGTATGAAAGAGGGATACAATTTCATTTTTTTCTGACGTGCGGACAAGCATTTTTCCAATCACTATTTATTAAAAAGTTAATTCTCCACTGATTGCAATGCCATTTCTGTCATTCTAAATAGTGTGGGGCTGTTTCTAGGCTCAGTTGTGTTCAGTTGGTCAGTTTGTTCATCTCTGCACAAATTCTACACTGTTTCAGTTTCTCTAGATTTTAGAAACACTTGGCATCTCCTTGGCTTGGTTCTTCCAAATTCTTCTTCTTCTGCAAAAGGGTCTTGGCTATCTTAAACCGTTTGCTTTTCCATATACAGTGATGGAAAGTTTTGGGGTTTTTTTTTGGCTAGTCAAGTGAAGCAGTGGGAGTGGACAAGGAACAAAGAAATATGTAACTGGTTGTGATTAATTAGTTGTAAACACCACTGCACTCAGACCAGCCAAGTTGTGTTAAATTACTGATTCAATTACAGATGCTCGTCAACTTACAATGGGGTTAAATCCAATAAACTCATTGTAAGTTGAAAATATCATAAGTAAAAAATGCATTTAATACACCTAGTCTACCAAACACCAGCCTAGTGTACCGAATATGCTCAGAACACGTACGTTAGTACAGTAGAGCAAAATCATCTAACATAAAACCTATTTTACAATAAAGTGTTGAATATATCATGTAATTTATTGAATACTGTACTGAAAGTGAAAAACAAAATGGTTGTACGGTACAACCGTACGGGTTTCTACTGAGTGCCTGTCACTTTCACACCATCGTAAAGTCGAAAAACTGTATGTTGAACCGTCGTAAGACAAGGACTGCCTGTATTTGTTATTCTGATTTTCTATTTCTTTTGTGTTGTTTGGTAAGTTTTCTAGGAATTTGTCCATTACATCTAAATTTTCAGATCTGTTGGCATAATAGATTCATACTCTCCTCCCACCAGAAATCTAAGAACTGGGAATTTCATTTGTCCAAATATATTATTAATACATATTTAATCTCTTAATCCTAAAATGAATAGAAAAGGCAGCAGATGTCATCCACACTTTATTTGCTAAAATGCCTGGATTTGATTAGTGAGCTCTCTTAGAGTTTAGAGAGAGAAAGTCTAGAAATACTGTAATGTGTAACAGGTCAGTCCCAGACCGACCAGAGGCGAAGTCTCCTGAATCTGCATACCAACAAGCTGGAGTATGGGCCTTGTGCTCTACAAGGCATTTGGAATTCATCTTGGATGTGGGATCTGGGGAATAAATCGGGCCACACTGACCCCATACTTCTCTCACACTTGTGAGCTGGGCCAGGCTGCTCCTCAGCGCATTGTCCATTCCAAAGAGGCTGAATCTTTGGATCCTATCTTCATGGGGACTTTCGCAGAAATTTGGTAGAAATGTCCAGTATGTTGCGTGCTCCGAGGATGTCATCATTGCTTTCTCCTTAGACTTTATTGTCTTTAATTGTGGTAAAATAGATGTAATATCAAATTTACCATTTTAACAATCTTAAAACAATACAGTGTATTCACATCGTTGTACCACCATCACCACCACCCACCTCCAGAACTTTTCCACCTCTCAAGCTGAAACTCCGTACTGATTAAACACTAGCTCCCTGTTCTTTCCTCCCCTGGTCCTTGGCAACCACCATTCTACTTTCTGTCTCTATGAATTTGACTACTGTAGATATCTAAGTGGAATCACACAGGATTTTTCCTTTTGTATCTGGC